TAAGATCAATTAAGAAACCATATTTCTTCAGTGTTGTCTGGCTTTTGGAACAATCTTCACTTTTTTTTCGTTTACTGTAGCTCCTTTAAGATTATTTTCAATTATATAAGCTCTTATTAAATACGCATTCCCATATCCCATTATATTTTACTATAACTATTATAATTTATAATTCACGAACAGTTAATATTATGAATCTAATAAACGTCAAATATAATATATGAGTAGATATGTCATGGACATTAAAATAGATTAACTTGATACAATGATGCAACAGAATAATTGTCGTAGATTCGCCAAACTAAAAAGCTACTTGTTATCTCGGGATGTGGAGGTAAGGCTAATGAATATCACACTGATGGTTTTTCAATATTATATATTAATAATAATAATAATCCTCCCACCCCAAAGGGTTGGATCGTCAGACAAAAAAAACAAACAATTTAAATTCCTTTGATCACCCAGAAAACCGAGGATAGACTTCAAATAAGAGGTCGCTTTTTTCTATCTTTCCGGCGGTGTACTTCCGAAACCTCCACACAAAACTCTTTGTTCGAACGGTAAAAGTCGATAATTAATTATTCAGTCCGATAACGTTATACGTGTATAATATATATACATAATATATATAGTACAAGAATAACACCGTTTACTCAGACCGTCTTATAGAGGATTTCTAAACGATTCAATTGTTCCCGAAACGATTTCGACAGAGACAACTCATTACATAATTATATCGTTATGATGGTTGTACCACCTAATGTTTGCCGACGAATGTGTCTGATAAATAAGTCATCATCGTTGTACGCACATAATAATAATAATATGATATTATGGTATACAATAATAACATAAATAATACCATTATTATGCTGTGCCATTCGTTTGGCGTGCCGACCGAGCGATTCGATTTTTCACACACAATAATATAATGCATTTAATACATACGTCATACACGTATTATTGTTATAACGGTTTATGTATAAAATGTTTACGAACACATTATACTCGCTAAACAGATTATTCGGTCGTAAGTCATTCCGAAAATGAATTTCATGTATAAATGCGTAAGTGGATTATATTGTAAAAAAAGTCATTAACTTCGACGATACGTTTTATACTACATTATATACATATTGTATATTCTACATAATATAATATAATATGTTATATATATATATATTCACGTACGCACACAAAGTACAGCCATACGTTGCATCCGAACGGTTATTTCATCTCAAATAACACACAAAAAGATTTAAACCTTTTCAGTCAATATAGGCGTATATACCATATACATATATTATATATATATATACGCACAAGTACCTGTAATCCACTTATACTTTTTTTTACGAATGAAATAAGTAACAAAAATAAAGTTATTGCTGAATACGGCTTAGCTGCGGTTTGATTTCAAAAATTTATATTGATTTATATATAGGTATCTGTATGGGCATCTGTATCGGCTTGAACAGTTATGCACTCTACTATGTTGTATGAAATACTGAAACCGTAACAGCTATATTGTGCTGATGTTAAGATGTTGATAGTAGTCGGCAGATAACGTACTTTGCTTATTACATTTTTTTTATTGTTATTATACTTGTGAAACTTATCCAACTTATTTAATTTGATTCAAACAATTTAACTGAAAAAGTGTTAGAATCATAATATAATATATATATATGTATATTTATTTTGCATTTTAATTTAAGTTCTCTCTCGTGCGAATAATATTGGAATTCATTTTTTGTTGAAATAATGGTTAACATAACAAACTTATCAGCCGTATCGTAAGAACTTTTAATATTGCTTATATTTTATTAAACTTGTAATTAATTCGAAGGTTATGAAACTACCACAAAATATACAGTACGAACTATAAAGACGCCAGTCTAACGTTTATGGATCCCTTTCCTATCGTTCTAGACAAAATATCTACCAGGAACAAACTCAGTCAGTAAGCATATATTTACCGAACTTCAGTAATGCACCGGGACGTCTGTAAAAACAACTACTTTATTTATTTAGTTAGATTCTAGTTATTAGAAAAACAGCGCAATTCAATACCAAAGTTATGACAGTAAAAGGTAAAGTACATTAAAAAACACACACAGTCAAATAAAATGTAAAATACAACCCTATTAACATGCAGGTATTGCAATGTTCATTATAACTTCTATATACAAAATGAATTAATAAACTTTATACCTAATATTGAATGTCACATAACATAGTTATGCGTACTCCATATATTATATTATTATAACTTCATTACCAGTAATATTATTGTCAGAGCTATACATTAAAAAGTATGTTCATACTCTGTACATTATTTTTTCTGAATGTAAAAATATTTCATCATATTTTGATAGATAATCAAAATTATGTGGTTAAAATGTTAGTGTAGAAAATCAGATTATTGACGTAATAGGTCACTATATCGCCCACGTTGCTACATAATATTATATTATGTGATATATTTCCATTAAAAAATATGAATTCAAAATATTATTTTGATAAATTACATTTTTAAATTTGAATAATACATTAAGTACTTGTGACATGTTTATACCTACAGCATCTACGTTCATGTCTCATTAATTGACTGTGACATTTTGACACGGATCTTTATGTCACAGAATATTCCATTTCATTGTGTCCTATTCATTTTATACAACCAAATTGTTTTTCAAGTGTTTTATAATAATAATAATAATAATTTGACATTTGAGATAAAAAATATTATACATTATACATATTATAATATTATATGATGTTTAAACTTCAAGATATATATTATTTATTTAACATAGTAAATAAATTATTCTAAAATCAACCTTGTCGTCTATATATAATATATTTGTAAATACGCAATTACCTATATTAACTTGTTTAGATGATCTCAATAAAACTAATGTTAGAAAATGTATTTAATTACAAATTTCTAAATAAAATAACGAAAACTAGAGAAACGCCAAGACTAAATCTTATTTTTAATATAATGATTTATTATAAATTTAAAATTTAAAATAAAACGAATATTTCCTGCATCACACTTTTTATTACTATGACTGTACGTTTTAATAATGCTATTGTTTATATGGGTTGATAGTAATAAATTTATTACTACAAAAAAAAAAAAAATACAGCAAGTGAAAGCTATTTGTAATAAATAATAATACTCTAAGAATTACAATAATAAAGGAAATGTGCACTTTTCTCGACAGGGGGCAGTAACTAATTACATAATAGAGCATTTTATATCATTGTAAATATACTAAACACACATACGCTGGTTTCAGAAGCACACAAAAATTAATTATAAACATGCGGAAATGTTATGTACATACATAAGTCACCTATTTATTAATGTACCTGTAATATTAATACCAAGTCATAAAGGCTGCTGAATACGATAGGTAAAAAAAGTATACTAGTCATGATCTCTATGGCCATCCGTGTCAAGGACCAAGATTAAAAAAAAAAACTTTGTAAACTCTAAAAAACTTATTTAATATAAAACGACACTCGACGCAACGGATGGCGTTAGGCTTACAACAATAATACTAAAAATATTGAAGCAGGCAAACCATGTCTATAAATACCCCACGCTGAAACGTTCCTCGACAGGGAGCACATCATCAACACCCGCGACAAATCACTATTCTAAGTAAAAGTACTATTTATTTTTAAATTTACTTTAGCACTTGTTTAATCTTTTTTTGGGAAATCTTAAAGGTTTAAATTAATTTTACGTTTTATAAACAAAAATGATTCATATCACTTGGAACCACTCACATGGCAGATACGACTAGGATAAACACCAATAGTCTTAAAATAAGTATCTCAATCATTTTTCATGAGGATAAAAAATACATGCTGTATGACGTCCAATACTCCATTCTAATCTGAAAGTTGTCTCTACCATATTATTAATATTTTAAAATTGTAAACGACATAGGTAAAATTATAGGGAATTAAAGACGTAGTATACAATCATTTCGTACAATATTTGGGTAAATAGAACTATTATACTATTAAACCATGGATGAAATATTAATTTAAAGAAAAGAAACCAAAACTAAAAAAAAAAAAAAATGAATAGTTTGATATTATGTTAAATAAATTAAAGTATACAGCAACAAAATGTATTTAACTATCTGTACCTACCTATTTATTTGATTACGATCAATTTATTTATCTAAATTGAAGTATCGATTCTTTCCAATTTAAAAACCGAACTTGTTTTTATGGACATTCGAAATAAATAAATAATATTAAAGCAAGTAATCAGTCACAAGAAACAATAAGTATTAGCATGCTACTACGAGAGTAATATCTCAAAAGTGTTTTTAGAACAGAGACTGAAGAAGTTTCGCGATTGCGTACCCCCAAAGCGAAAAAGGCGCTGGTAAAAGTACTTGTCGTGAAGAGGAAAGAGAAAGACAATACAAAAGAACGTGAGATGCATCAAAAATCAAATAACATTTCATTCTAGCAGACAGTAACATACCATTAAGGTTAAATTTGTATGCAAGGACTAGAAAAATGTTATTTGAAGAAGAAGAAGAAAAATAAATTGATTTTTTTTTAATTTCTAAGCAAATAACGATTTATTTCGAGTATAGTTAGATAATAAATTTTGTGTTCACAATGAACAATGAATTAATACTCGAATATTATTACAATGTATTGCACCATACAAAGATATAGCATGGTTTTACATAATTTTTTTTTAATTTCAGAACTAAGTAAGCTTATTAATACAGCGGTTAGGTAAATTTTGTTATTATTCATACTGGCAACAACGGCCAATAAAACGGCATTAGTCTGCCCATCGTTTCGCGGTGATCGCAGTGCATTGTATTATTGAAATATGTATTTAATAATTTCATTTCATTGGAATTGTCACCATAATATTATAGTTTGTCTAACCAGTGCCGCAACTAGGTTTTGTAGGGCCCTGATGCTAAAAACTTTATGGTGCCCCTGTACTTGCATTATACATTATAATGAAAAAAAGTCAGTGCACAGATAACCTTTGGCAGATCCCTAATACTAGACAAAATGTATGGCCCTAAATTTTTAAAACTTTTCAAGCTCTATACTGCTTGACAAGCAGTATAGTAATGTGGCTATATTAAGTTCATCATATTTTTAAACACATCTCCAACAATACATCAGTTATCAGTAGTCAAATAGTCAAATAATTAATAAAAAGTAATTCATTTATTAAACAATATTATATTCAAATTTAAATAACAAAAAATAAACAATCAATAGGTACTATTATAATTTATAGGTATTATACAAAGATTTTACTTTAAAAAGTTTTTTTTTCTTGACTTCAAATTAGCAAAGTCATTTATCAATTTTTCAATATCTAGTTCTTTTGTCCTTGATTTTTCTATGTTAAGTATACTTATGCCAGTTAATCTATCTTGCGAAATAGAATTCCGAAGATAATTTTTTAGGAGTTTTAATTTGGAAAATGACCTTTCGGCCGTAGCTACAGTAACTGGGAGACTTAAATATATAATACAAGCTGTGAGAATTTCACTGTAAAGAGATGAAAGATCATATTCAATTATAAAAGATGTCAATTCTTGAATAGTTTGAATTTTTGTATTTTTAATAAATTCTTTTAATGAAATTAGTTGTCTTATTAAATCTGATGTCACATCGTTATTGTAAAATGATATGAAATCATAACAAGATTTAACTATTTCTGACTCTTTCATAGTAACTATATTTTGTGGAAGTAAAAATTCAAAATTTCTTGAAACGGAATGAAGTCCTTTAAATCGATCACGTAACTGAAATAAAGCTGTATCAATGAGAGGATAAAAAATTGCTATACGAAATTTTTCTTCAGGCACATCTAATCGTTTATCTCCTTGAATTTCTCCACAGTATTGTTTTGAATATATTTTACGGGTTGTAGGTTTTGTTATAGATATACCCCATTTATGGCATAATCCAGTAGCTGATACAACAAGTTCATCATAACCATCTCTCATTTTTTCAATTGACAAAATTGTTCCTTGCAATAAATCACATGCCTTGTGAAGATTGGTTTGTGGTGATTGTAATACCTTTGATACAATTGATAAAGGTTTTAAAATATTTTCCCATATGGTCATTAACATAACAAATTCAAATAATTTATTGTATTGGTTTACTATATTATATCTAGTTATGTGTATGCTTTGCAATTTGTAATATAATAAAAATAATTAAACTAAAAAAATGAAATATTTCTAATAAAACTTACTTTGTTCAAGTTGATCCGGTTTAAAATAATTTTTAATTTTTTTATTACTTTTTAAAATAATTTCTTTTTGCTCTTTATTTTTCTTCCTTTTAGCCGCACCACTAAGGACTTTTGGTTTCATCATTCTTCACAGAAGTTTCAATAAAACGATAACGATTAACAATAAACTTGACTCAGTTACAAAAGTTAAAAATTAAGTATAACACACAAAAATGATCAAATTCAACGAGTATCACCGCAATATTATCATTAAAGTATTACTAGATTTCTTTATTCCATCGTGCTGAGGTGCTCAATGCTCATGAAGTATTCGAGAATTTATGTAATAATAATAATCATAAAGATAAACGATTAACGAATTACAATTTTAGTAGGCATTAAGTATACCTACTGATTACTGATATTATATCATAATAAATGTGTTGTGTGTCCATGGCCCGAGCGTTTGTTTGTGTGTGTCTATGTTGAGAGTTATAAATAAACCTATTTTTAATTTTCAAATGTGAATTACCATCGTACATGTAAACAAAGATTATCAGTTATCAGTGGTCCCAAAATTATCGGATATTTATTCAACATTTGGCGGTTGATTGTGACATTAATCTATTATAGAAATATAGAATGTACATTTTCCATTTTTTTTTTTTTTAAATAATAACTTGCTTAATTTTTCGCTTTGATGATGGGCCCCTCACCATAACATAAAACCTGGCCAGGGAATGCATTGCATACCTTGCCTCCCCTATTGTTGCGGCACTGTGTCTAACATTGTGATAGACTATAAAGTTGCTTATATAACTACATTACTAAAGTGTTTAATGAAATTCTTGTACGAATTTGTTGGTAGTACCGTATTTGTTTTTAATGATGCAGTCTGCATAATATGGTAAACTAAACTCAAACGACATTACACATTTAAACACATTGCAATTTACACATTATGCATTACTACTCGTATGTGATAGTATATATTATGTACACAATTTTGATTAAAAATCATAAGTATTAACAAAATGTATTATGAAAAACAAAACATAATTAAACATTAGAATGTAAGTTCATCAAAAAAATAAAATAATAATCAATTTAAACTTTTATTAATAGTGACTACATTATATTATGTGTCTACTGAATTGTTGACTTAATATTTTATTTGTTTGTTTCATTGCATAATAATATATAGTGACTATCTTTTTTATACTGAATTTATTGCATTCGAATTTGACAAATACGATTACAATATTACTGATAATATAGAAATCTGTGAAAACGGTTACGGAATTAATTGGTGGAAGTTATTTTATTTCAAATATGCTATTATTATCAGATGTGTTCTGTATGCAATAAATTATGAAAATTCATAAAAAAAAAAAAACCAAACGCAGTATAAAATTATATTCAGATGTAGTACGGTAAATCTAGGTATATGCAGTTAACTGACTAGACGGTGCATGCACAGATATACAGCCAACTGAATACCTGATATTATTATACTATACTAATATGATAATACAGTACCTCGATAAATCGAAAACCTTGATAAGTAGAAATAAATTAAGTTTCCTAACCTAACCTAATCTTGAATTACGACTTATCGTAGTTCCACTGTATTTATAAATCATAAATCATATTTCATTTGTTCCTAGCTATTTCGTGCAAGTTCCGAACATCGATATAATAATCGATGATCGGATTTTTCACTAAAACTTATATGCCTGACCAGTGCTCGAATTGGGTTGGGGAGAGGTGGAGCTTTTCTATTATTTTCATTGAAATATCCAACTATTTTTTTTTTTTTTTGAAAGGGAGATGGTACAAACTAATGTCTGAAATAATTTGTATTAAAATGTGGAGTGGATTTAAATTTGTCTCAATGATATTAGTATATTATATATTATTATCAATTACCTTATGAATTTTTTATGTTTTCATAACAAAAATATTTTTTATCTTTTCTGCAGTTTTGATTATCTAATACCATATTATATTTTTTATTCGAGTTTAATTATATTATATCACGCTTGTTCTTTGCCTAGCTTAGTAGTGCACAGATATGTAAAATAAACTATTGTGTTTCCGAAGATCTAGGGATTAGTATTGTCAGTTGACACAGATGTGTCTGCACCACAAATTAAGATATTATCACTGATCATAATATATTTTTTTATTTTCTTCTGAAATATGTAAGTATATTATTGCAAACAAAATGGGAATAATAATAATATTAAAAATGACTTTTTAAGTGACTGAATGTATGAAACGTAATATTGGGAAAAATTTAAAAAAATAAAGTGAATATAAAAATATATAAACCTATAATCACTTGCATGTTATATAGTAGTAAAAAATATTGTATTTGAAATATAATAAAGCTAAAATGTTATAACTAAGCTTAAATTTAGTATTAAAAATATAGAAATGGGGTTGGAGAAGGGCGTAAGGGGCGTTGCCCGTACGGGTCTGTGTTAAATAATTTTGCACTTGGAACGAAGTTATTTTTAAATTATTAGATTTAGCTCCTCTATTCAATAATTTCCAATTCGGACACTGGATAAAATATTTAATATTTATGCTATCTCAGGATACAGTGTTTTGCATACATTCGTATAACAGTGTAAGTACTCAAATAAAGTTAAGTACCTCTGAAAACGCTCGTGGCGACTCGAGTAAAATAAACTACCTGTGTAGATTTGAGAGGCAGTAAATGCTAAATAATAGGAATTATTATTATTACCAATCAACGTTGTTATACGTCCAGGCAGACGTCTACCGTATGTCGGACACCACGATCTAGTTCATTAACGCAAATGTATTCATCGCGTATAATGTGTGCAACGTCAATATTCACGTTTAGCCGAATTTTCACTTAAATCAGTCGTTCAGCTTACAGCAGGACCGCGTGTTATTACAATAATAATTGTAAGCCGCACTAGACGGCCTGCTACCAGACGAGAGAGGTTTATAATAGCCGGATACAAAAGTGGTTGCCGCTTATAACCATGATTCGCGTTTGACGATAATGGTGTTATTATAATATGTTGTTGTTGTTGTTGCTATCGACGTACGTCGTTGTTTAATGAAATTTTCGTCTATTATCGCATATTTACACACACGCGTTCACACAAAATAGCAAAACCTCATTACGGAGATATGGTAACTCATTTTACAGTTCGTGATAATGGTGGGTACGGTAAGTATAGTTTCGAAGGTAAAAATATGTAAATCGAAACCATCCGCGTGTGCATTGTGCATCCGTATACTATATCAGAAAAAAATTGTAATAATCAAATTTTTTTTCTATAGCTGCAATCAAACTATAAGTATAAACTGTGCAGAATGCACATTATATTTTATTGTATATTCGATTGCGTATACTAGGTAAATAGACAGATATGTTATAGACGGTTGATGTTGTTTATTATAATATTCTATACGATGATATTCGGTCATTGGTCATTAAGCCGTTGATTTCGAGTAGGTTTTATTTTTTTTTTATCCCACCTAGGTTGTGATTATCGTCTTTGAATCAAAAAAATCACATGAATAAATAATAATCATAACAAAAAATAATTCAAAACAAAAAAAAGATAAAATATTTTGTTCTGAGCATTTCGTATTATTACTACATAATGCATTTTCCTAGAATAAACTGTTATAAATATATATTATATAATGATAATAGTGGTGAAATCTAGTTTTGTTTCATTATAATGCACATGGAATAAATTAAAATAACCAAATTCCAAAATAAAGTGTGTAATGTGACAGTGGGACAATAAAATAGTTTGGTCTACAATACAAATTATAGATATTTATTGCAATATAATTAATGCGGCATTTCAAAAGAATTGCATTTTACTAGTATTTCACAATTAAATGTTCCATTGTTTCGACTCTATAAGATATAAAACCTATTACTTGCTCTATATATCAAATTATTATGATGTTACTATGTCAGTCAACCAGTATCGATAATGATGATGATGATGCGTGGTATTTTCACAATATACACATACGCTGTGACCCTTGTAAATATATGACAATGCTTGTAGCTAATAAAATCAACTACCACAAGACAGTAATCTATCAACCATATTATAGTTGGAACAACTTTTGTTTGTCAGTTACATTTAATTACATTATTTATACATTTATTTACGGAACAATTTAATCGAAGTCAACCTGACAATCAAGAGGTTTTATCTCTCTACGTAAAGTTTTCTTATATTGTCATAATTAAGAAGGAATAAAGTTTATTACCAGGAATCATAAATCATTTTTGGTTAGGTATAGACAACTATGAACATATTAATCCCTCGCCGCTCCTAAATACGCGCGCTTCTACACCGAAGATGACAAATGCCCAAATAACGGAATGGCGGTATATATATTCGAGTCTAAATTAAATTCTCATTCCATGGCTCAAGCGTGTGGAGGTAAAAAAAAACTCGAATTAATTTTTGCCGGACTTGTGCGCCATGTCACCCCACCACCAGTGCAAACTACAACCGCAGAATATCCACATCCCACCCTGTGGCGTCGAGCGTTCCGCCGTCGGGTTAGACGGCCAAATATGACTTTCTCGTGCTCAGTATTAGGCGAATGTCCACGGCGAGTATATTTTATAATATATAACACGAATACGTGTGAGAGCCACTTGGAAGACTGATGCGAACAATATTCCGGGCATTCGCACTAGTCCTGAGCCTGTTTGTCGCACACGATACAGTCGAATAAGGAATGACGAATATTTACCGAGCAAGACCTTTGCACGGAGGTGCATTCGAAACACGATTCGAAACACGTGCGACCGCGAATCGAGAAAAAGCACCGTCGTCGACTGCGGCCGCTACCACCGTCGTGGTTGTATCGAACATATTATTATTATTATTTGTATACCTACCTACATTTACACCCAAACGTACCTTATATAAGACGTGTTGCGTTTGCTTTACACACCGACGAATTTTCGAAAAATCGGCATGATTCAGTGTTTCTCGAAACACGCATAAGATATATGCTCATAAAACAAATCCTAAATCCACATCGGTCGTATATTAGCGATTTGCACAGACCAGCAGAAGAGTACCTATGCGACGGGAAGAACAAATCTATATAAAATAAAGTCTACGACAGAACGTTGACGTTTTCATGAGTGCTATCTCAAATCTCATATTACCTACTTGTAATCCACCATTGACATAAAGCGACCGACAGATATAAAGTCGGATTTCGTCATGTCGTTTCTTTTTGCGTAATATAATATACGGTTTCTGTATCGAAATATATTTCAAGGATAGGAATAATATGTTCCCAAAACAAATAAAATATAATTAACATTTTCTTACTCTATATTGAATAATAAAAGTCTATAATGAATATTATAATAGCAAATTTAGAGGTTAGGCTTAGGAATCTACTCTCTGGGACCAACGAGGCATTTGGTTGAAAGCAATAAATAAAGGTAAACCTAAGACCAAATTTGTTAAAAAAAAACATTATTTCTGATAGGGACATTATAACTAAAGACACGTTCATATTATTGTATACGATGCATACGATTTCAATATGACTCACAGGTAAATATAACAACATTTTCACGAGGCACGCAAGATGAAAATATTAATATCATATAGTCTACCATAAAATATTCGACCAAACTGTATGTGGAGACACGTCGTATTGTCGAAGCGGTTGAATGTCTTAAGACAATCTTCTAAGTTCATCGGCGAACTTAATTTTATAAAGTTTAATTAATATATTACATTCAATGGTTTTTAAACTTTTTTCCAATAAAACTTATTTTTACAAGTCATGAAAAAAAACTGATTTGATGTTGAAAATGAGTAAAGTTTAAGTTAAACCGTGTAATATTTCGAATAATAAAAGTCAATAAATTATTCATACACAATGTTTTCAAAATAATAATGACGTCTAAGTGTTCCATTTATTCTGTGATAATTTATACAATGCTGCTATAATAAATATCCTATTACATATTATTATTCACTTTATATCGTAGTGCATAATGGGTTAGTTCCACATATATTTTTCTCTCTACAATAAAAATGTACACAAACTGGCACGTACAAAATAATGTGGTATTATAAGAAAACACGAAGAGTCTGTTTTCATGATTAAAAACAATAATATTATTTTATTCGTTTTTTATTATTATTTTTTTATTGGTGTCGTTACGACGTTAGTTGGCATACGTCACCACACGAGGGAGACAACTTTAGTTTCTGCAGTTACATAGTCGACAAATTACAAGTCGTCGCAGAAGTTTCTTTTTGAATTAAAAAGCAATTATGAATGCGAAATGACATTGCTAGTTCGTTTGATGTTTAAGGAGAAAACTCTAACTAGTATAGTAATAATAATGATAATGATGAAAAAAAAATACTTCTATTCAAATATTGTAATCAAAATAAATATAAACGTTTAAATACAAAATATTTTTAAAAAATAACCGACATTGAATAAATGCGTTTTTGTAGACTCTACTGTAATTGACGTCATTAGAAAAGTTATTGGCGCGTTTCACCTGACAATAATAACATGAATGAGTTTTTGATATTCGATTATTACCGCATATAGTCGACATTACAGCATTCTAATCAAGAAAACTGTACACAAATTCCTAAAGTAATAAATTTAAAAAAAAAATACACACCAATGCGAAGACGTGCGTTTGAAGTTAAATTGTGTAAAAAAAAAGAAAATACCAAAAAAACCGGAAAAAAAAAATTGAAAAAAGTGTTTAAGCGAAAAGTTTGTAACTACTCGGCGGTCCTATCAATTTTCCGTCTCGCGTTAAACTCTAACGTGCGGCAATTTGTCCAAAGGGTCGGAGATTATATTCGAAAAACACTTTGGAACAAGATTACACTATATATTATATTATATTATATACATGTCTATACATGCGCGTGCGTGAGTGATGGATTAAGAGAGAAAAGGGGAGTGAGGGGGATTCAGGTATCGCACAGGTATATAATATTTTATAAGCTCTCGCTGATCATCTTCGGCTGGGATGATGGCAGCCCGGCGAGAGTTATTTGTTTTTCTCTTCTCCCCCTCCCCACAATCACCTGTCGCATACGTATCGTAGCACCTCTAACGCGAACTTGACAGTCAGAGCACCGCTAAAACCACTATGCACCAAAACACGTCGATATAGGTCCGAGTTTCCGATCGATCGATCGGTACCGCCCAAACGAAACAGCGGCACGTATCGTGGGCACATTATATCAAGAATATCGACTATCTTACAAGCGTGTCCATAACGCTCGCTCACACGTATCGCGGGGCCGACTGTGGGTAGGGCCTACCCGGTGGCGGAGTGATTGATGGGCTGTGAAGCAAACTACGGGCGCCGATAACCGACCAAAGAAATTTTATATTATTATACTCACTGGTCACGGTCAGCGTGATGCTAATGGAATGGCCACGTCCGTCCATGCCAGTTGCAGTGCAAAAGTAGCCGCCCACGTCCTCCTGTTTGACCGTCTCGAACACCAACAGAAGTCCGGTCTGGTTGCGCTGCATCGCCAACTTCTGCGAATGCACCCTGCGAAGTCATCGACGTCGTTAATGTAATATGATTTATTATGCTATATAAATGTACAATTCGATATTATGTAGGTCGTATTATTACAACAACGTATTCATTTAAAAAATTTAAAAACATTTTTATAGGAAAAACACTCTCATCTTCAACTTCGAGAGTAGTTGCCGCAATCAAATAGGATCTATTGTTGATGCTTTGGGAGTCAAAAGTAATACAATCCTCAGTACTCAGTATTTTCATAATAATCGGAAGAAAAAAAAATAAAATAAAATTACGGATAAAATGGGTATAAAATACGTATAAGACCATTTTTGTACGAAATAATTTTGTTAAAAAACTTATAGCAGTAGATCTTAGAAATGTTCCAAAAATATTTACACTTCTTTTTTAAAAGCATTGTATAATTTTCAAGATATTTTGGCTCTTTATGATCTATTTATAGACATTTCTAAAGATATTTTTGGTTCTCTTCACTATAAAAGTTAATAAAAAATATGGTGAATGTCGAAAAGTTTGTAAATGTATAGTTATATTCATGATAATAATTGTTCTCACAAACATTTATAAAAGAAAATGTTATGCATAATTATACATTAATTTTTATCAACGTTTTAATTAAAATGTAAACGAACAATTAATTGTTCTTACAGCAACCTACAAAATACATATGATTTTCTTCAGAAGTTCTAATTTTTATGAATAATTGTAAACGCATATTTATGAATGGTTGAAACAGTTATAAGGGTAAATAATAATTTATTGTAAGTAATGATGATCAATATTGGTACTCCATCGGCAGGTAATATATTTTAAAAATTATAATTAAAAAAATATAATTTTTTGTTTTTTTTTTTGGTTTTCGTGCAAACTATTTTGAACAACTCGATGTTATTCGCACAAAGCTTAACAATAATATCTTTATTGGAAACATATATTGGAACTCTCAATTATTTAGTATGACCGTTTTTAATAACGTTTATTACGTATACTATGGTATATAGATATTATACAAATTACACGAATATCAGCATATCATATTTTCAATTTATTTTACCTTGGAGGTACATTTAATATGACGTGTATAATATATTTCTGTTTATTTTATACTTCACGATGAAAAAAATGAGGCAGTAAATTGGATTTAATATATTTACGTAAGTAATGCAATTATTATTTGAACATTGCTCATACTGTATGGTAATAATAATTAGTCTCTTTTTCATTAAAAAATGTACCTATGTTAATAATTAATATAAATTAACATAAATAAATAAAATTACTTGTATGCGTATAAGGTAGATTTGACAATAATCATACGAAGTTAGTACTGCAATTTAAAATTTTAAAATTGTACAAGTTTTAACCATAATATATATTTTTAGTAGGTAATAATAATAATATAAAATTGAAAAAAAACTAATAGTTTTAAAATAATATAATACATACATGGGCACATTCTGGTGAAACATATATTTTTACGTTGGTTAGGTTTTTAATATTTATATAATTCAAATATAGTTGATGGAGTAACGCGGGCCCGTTGCCCACTAAAATTATTGGGAAATGAGAAAACACGGTGGCCCACATCGTATACAATCAATATGAATGAATTCCGTATTATTATATCATAATAAATATTTACGATTAAATTCCAAAGAGTTTTTCACCGTCGTAAACGGATGTTTCTTATAAATGCACCGTAGAAGTTTTTATTTTCTGCACCGTCCCGGGGAAAAAGATATATAAATCAAATGCAACCATATTGTTCAAATCCTGTAGTGGAACATTACCGCGATCGTAGTATTTAAATTATTGCCAAGTCTTCTATTTTAATAAATCCCTGAAACGTGCACAAGCTATATCTTGTATTATCTTTGTATTATGATAAACTATACTATAATAACATGAAAATAAGTTTCTCGTGGAACTACAAAGACATTCATTGTTAATACGTAATAAATTGTGTTATTATTCACATGTACAATAAATAAACAAGTAACTTAATCTAAAAAATAGATACGTAACCTAATAAAGTCTCGAAAAAACATGAATAAACAAATCAACGCATGCCGCCTTCTTTTATTCAATTACAAGTTATCATGTTATTATAACGGTCCCGACCCATCTGGATATGAAACGATACAGCACATAAATGTGAATTCGATATTTTGTACAAATTTCGGTACCTAATATTATATGAAAATCTAATTACATTATTCAAGTCAACCTTTACCGTAGTATTACAATAGTACAAAATGTGTATTCGCTCACAAGGAAAATAATGTTTTTTAGTTTAGTTGAAAATCAATGTACCTCTGTACAATATAATTTAATAGTAATAATAATAATTGACTCTCGACTCTTATTAATAAACATGTTTTCATTGTAATCATTGTTTTTTATATGGTTTCGTTTTTAATGAAATTAATATTAATTTAATATTGTCTTTCCACTTTCGATAAATAATTTATTAAAATTAATCACTGGCCATCAATAAATGATTCTCAATAGAGTTTGGTTTATTGTGATAACTATGGAATTATTTAACTATTATTATGTTAAGAATGCAAATAATTAAAAAATTAAATATTCTGAATGGAACAATGCATATATAATAGTATATTTTTGAACTGAAATAGTAAGTCTAAAGCTTACATACGGATTAAATTAAAAAAATATAAAAAATGTAACATTTTGAATTCAACAAATTTACCACTATCCAAATTTAAAAACAGATTATCTTGCTAATTTCAAAATTGTTAAAACTTGTATGGTTCACAAAATATTATAGCATGGTATAAATTTGAGGTTATAGATACAAATATATAATGCCAAGCTTATAACAATAAAATAAAATAAAAACATCATATTTTCATAAAGTTTATTCCCAAATTAAGTACACTAAATACAATTAAAAATGTTTACTCATGTATAATAATTTAATAATTAATTTATACAAAATACAATTTACTAAATATAAGATAATTATTTTGCAGCAAAATAACCAAGATCGATTTCGTTAAGTTCGGGCATGCTATAAATTTAAACGTTTAGGTTTTTCAGTAGTTTTTCTTTACTCTTAGACGGAAAACTACTGAGAAATTCAAAAAACGACTACGCTAATGTACCAAATAGATAAAAATGTCTAACCGATGGATAAGGTCAAATGCAACGTTAGAAGCACTCAATCTACAAGAAAAAAAATGATCAGAGACCAAAACTAAAAAATAAATAATAAAAAACACATCGTTGTAAATCTAATACATCATTCGCTTCGTCCAGAACCTAAGCCAGTAATATTTATACTGAACACAGAATACACTATACGCGTATTTATAAATAAATATGATATATTTATTTTTATCAAGTGCGTTTTCATTTACAAAAAAAAAAATAAAGTCGTTCAATATTATAATCATGATAATGTGTGTACTCGGGTCTACTTGAACTTGCACAGTGGAAATGTAATTGTAAAATATTATATTATGTATTGATACAATAATACAAATAATATTAGGTATAGTATTGTGTTGATTAAATAGCTGATTATGATCTAGGGAGTAGGAAAAAAAAAATAAAAACGTGCGTGTCACACAGGCGTTTCGTGTGGGTATAACTGTGTATATTATGTTCACCGGTGGGAATCGCAGTGGACAGCTAAATAGGATAATAATATTATAATTTATAATATTATATTATATAATAGTACCTACTCCGAATATTAGAATTAATTAACTTTACTGTTTGGACATATTATACCTACCTATAATATAATATAATACAGTCATTAAATTGTATTTCGTTCGTTAATAATATTGTTGAAAAACGCAGATGTGTCGTCAGCGTGCAAGATATATAATAACACAGTACGTGTTCGAATATAATATATGGCCCCAGAGGAGTTTGTACACATCGAGAGAGGTACCTACCTACCTACGCCAAATGAGCGTTCGGCTCGGGAGTGGTGGTCGGAAAATTTACGTCGTAAACAGCGTGGTGTGGTATGTGCTAGGGATTTTAGTCAAGAACGTTGTTTTATTTTTTTGTAAGTGACCAACTAACATGACATATTTTCCATATCTGTAGCTTGGTTCAATAATGCCAATGTATAAAAGCCAGCTTTTTTATCATTTTAATTAAATATATATCATCAATAATACACTATTATAGTCATTATGTTTATTCGAAATAACAACGTGGTCAATCTTAAAATATCTTAAGTCGGTCCCATCAGAGATTAAAATATTAACATAATATATAAATATAATCGGCCTTCCTTCAAAATGCACACAAAACCACAGATACCTATAATAATAGTGTGTTTAAACTCAATATTATCACTATATTCATTATATTGTTATAATATATAAAACTAATTTGTGATAATGTGGTGTTTGGTGTGCAAATTAAACTTTATATACAGGAATGCGGCAAAATAGTTTTCTATTATTATTTGCCACCGTTCGTTTGCAATAATGTATATATGGTTACTATATTTGCATAATATCGTGTGCGTATAAATTCAATATAGGGAAACAATTTCAACGAAAAACGTCTATGCTCATTTGGGAGTCAAATAGGCAAAATAATTTATGCTTAACAGCATATAGGTATTCAAATACAAATACAAATATTAGTATATAAGTTTTATCAAATTGAGTAAATAAAAAACTTAAGGTTGATTAATTGTTAATATGTTTGATTTTAATTTCTATACATGATAATAAACAGTTAAAATACGAATCGATTAGATATGATTTATTATATAACTAACACAAATGTATTATTTATCTTAAAATATTTGAATTAAATGAATATAATAATATTATGTTGTTTGTGTACTTTAGTTTATTGATATTATTATAAATGCGATCGATGTTTGGTTATCCTACAATAACACTGTAATCGTTTTTCTTGAATAATATTAGTGCATTTGAAATGCAAATGTATCTAATGTTATTTTAAACCATGAGTTGAAACACTTGTTGTAATAGTAAAATGAAATATAGTAATTAATAACCCTTGAAATAAATTGATACAAAGAGCCAATAGTTAGGAAATATAAATTATCACTGTTGATAGGGATATAGTACTATAATATTCCTCACTATATAATACGATATATATTCTATACTTGAAATTCTTAGATTAATTTTTCTCGTGATAATCGAATGCTTAAAAAATGTATTTACATTTATTTATATAAATATTATATATTTTACTAGAATTATACTACTGGTGAATTTGCACAGATGCAATAAAATACAATTACAACATTATGCGACTATAACAGGATACTGTCATTAGTGTGCACAAAAATAATATAGATTTTACTGCGGATTTTACTATCAATTGATACCGTCGTAGTTAGGAACACCCAATTATCGTATTTGAGCCCAGCCTCCGTTTTTCAAATGTGATCACTATATTAAAAAATGTTAAGTGCGTAAAACAAGTCAAAGGAGATAAGAGGAAAAACGAAATTGTACTACGTCCACAACGATTTAAAACATTAATGATACGAATCTCTTTGAACAAATCATAATAAATATTGAGTTTGAATTCTCGAAACACATTTTTAATGATATTCTCGATGATAGTTTGACGTTATTAAATTTTCCGGGCAATGTCTTGATCGACCCATAAAATACCAACTACGGACAAAAAAAAAAATATTTCTTATTAGGTTTTGGAATTTCACAATAATATCTGAAATATTATCGTATAATAATTTTCGAATACATTACTATTTTTCAGATATTTTAATAAACAGTCATTACTAATAGTTATACTAAATTCACCGCGTAAATCGTGATTTATAATACTATAATATTATACTATAGTTGTTTTTGTAAATGTAACACGCAGAATTAAAATAAATACTTTTTTTATTTTTGCTCGAATCTTGTCCATATAGGTATAGGCCTGAAGACGAATTTATTTTTCAATCGAAAAGCTACGGTAAGAGTAAAATACCGATACTTTGGCATTGGAGGCGTAAAAATATTATTTCTAAACACTGTTTTAACGGTACGAGTAAAATATAAACATAGCTGCGGAAAATCTCACCTGAATTGCGGGCTCTGCGATATTATACCCGCGGGACCACGCCATTGAAATTCGTTGAGGTTTGGACCGTGGCACGTCACACCGTATTTCGATCGTTCTTCTCTTACCGGCTCTTCTTCGTTTGGTGTAATCTGAATGGTTTGGGAAGCGCAGCCCGTGATCGCTACAAGCACTGTAAAACAAAGAAGGAATAAGTGTTATTAATCGAAATCGGAATCAATAGGTCGAGCACGCCGGCAACACAACTGACATTTTTAATTCGAATTCCAACGATCGAACGCTAGACGGCTATAAACATTATTCGCTATGATATTATTATATTGGATCAGCTTCGCTATCGCTATTTCTATTTTCATTGTTATTATTACTATCAATGTAGCGCATAAAATAAAACTCCTACAAAAACCAGTTACAATCAGGGTTGAATTCAAGGCGAGACAGGAGTTTACCCATCTTTCAAAACACACTTCTCCACTTTTATTTTGGAGAAACCGAATAGTTATATGTATACCCTTAGTTGTTATTTAATTATTGTTAGTTAATAAATTATATTATATGAAAAAAATCAACTGATATAAATTTAAATCATAAATAGGAAGAGAAAATAGGTTGTTTTTAGTCAAAAATATCTGAGGACAATATTTGGCTGATTTACGTTTTAAATAAATCATGGCCCATCCAGATGTTCACTATACACCCGTGGCTGATTATACATTAAATAGAAAAATTAATACATGGGTGTATTAGTTGTAGTATAATATTAAACAATATTAAAATCCCCTTTTTACGGTATAAAAATATGTAACTAGGTACTGTATAATATTATAGTTTTGATGCTCGTTGTTTCTCTTGGCTGTAAAAAACAATGTAATATTGTTGAGTACCAAGTGTTTAGATAATAAATTCTGAAAAGGTCTGATATTACAAAATACTATATAGGTACCACCTGTATGTACCCATTATGTGCAATACTATAATGTATTGTATTATTATTTTGATAATAATATGCAACGTTGAAAACGTGTATGGTTGACAATTTGTAAGGTTCTGCATGAATCTATTTTATAGACAAAGTGTGAGTTTAGATTGAAATATACGTATTCGCATGTTACAAAATTACTCATTACAACGCAATCCACCTATACATTTTACCGTCACGCTACTATGGCCTGTGGGAACTAGGTGAACAATTTGTTCACCATTTTATAACAGTACTCTAAATAATGATGCGGTTTTAAGCAGAATATCATATAGCAGGCTAGACTAGTTTCCCGATGTCTCGATATTTTATTATAATAATTTTGCTAACAATAATATATAAAATAAAACAGGAAGTTACCATGGATAATAATATAAGAATGGATATACCATGTCAAGGCCTGCAACGCAGTGGGTAGCTGTCTTTTACGTATAAGAGAGAAAGACGGTCTGCCACTTCCGCAAGGGATCATTAGTTATATTTTGTTATATATGTATTATGTATGTGTGTATTGTAATCTCAAATAATTGTCCAATTAATGTCCGTGGGATGAGGTCGAGTAGTCTATATGCGTTCTTATATTATCCATGGTAGGAACTATACCGGATACCAAGTTTATAGTTATATCAGAGCAGGTATTTATTAATATTATTAATCCGACACGTAACAATAGTAATATGGTCTGTGCGTGATTTACGTTCGAAATAATATGCTTTTCGCGTCCGATTTAACTAAAGCAATCGAAACGGAATTCTCGTGTAACGTGCTCTCTAAGTATAGTCGAGTGCCAGGCGGAAAAAAATCGAAACCATAGCGTCAGATTTATGAGACGAATTATTGTCATAGCGGTGGCGGACGGCCACGTATTTGTTATCGTTTCCTGCGATAAACAATACAACACCTACAACAGCTGAAACGGCAAATACAGTACGTGACTGACTCGACGTGGTTCAAACGTGATGCAATAATATAACAATAATAAATTGGTAATTTGTCGTGAAATGTAGGGCCATTATCGGGACACGGCATATTATTATATTATATATTGACGTCATTACCGTATGGTGTCGTATACCACCGTGGCGACTGCTGCACGACAATCTGTATTATATTCCTATCACTGCTGCAGTTTGAATCCGCAAACATTCGCATTAGAATATTATCCGACAGAACGAAATAATATAAGTAGTACTATAGATAAGCAGCGGATGGACGACACACCGTCGTGTTTCTAGTTTTTACCGTGTTAATGTTATAGGAAAACGTCAAGAAATTACGGGTCCATGTCACACGCCTTGCATAACGAAATTATTTACTACAATTTTCGTACGATTAGTCAGCTGTTGTGAATTTGAACTGTACCAGCGCACGTGCGTATATTGTGTGCACCGTGACGATATAAGTCATATGCCACACGTCGTCTTTAAATAACGCTCCAAATAATAAGAGCGGTAAAAAATAACAATAAATTGTTCTAAATAATATTATTAACTCGTGCATTTTTCTTCTCACATTACTGCAACACGCGGTGCTACACTCATATCGCAGTCACACCCGTCATCCGAATTTCGAAATTCACTAATCCCTCATAAGCCTTCTCATTATTCGAAAACTGCCAGCCAAATATGCATAAAACAAATACGATCTAGACACATTTTTATTGCTTCAACGACGCGTATTTTATATTTGTAATATTATGTCAGAGTTCAGTTTTTTGATGCAGTGCCAAAGGATGTGAAACCCTATTTCACGAATATTATTGTTTTTGTAGAAATGTTGTAACTACGTAATATTTACGAGTTTTATATTTCTACGATCGTTCGGGAGCACGGGTTACATTAGACATCTATCTAAAATATGATATTAAATAAGATTCAAGTCATGTGAACCACGGTCACGCGTCGAGGACATTTTACACAAAATAGTGATTTAATTTGTACAGATATCGTAGGTTATATTGAGCTCTATGTCGCGATTCTAAAAGAATTCAGTGAGAAACAGGTATGGGTAATACGTCGTCAGACGAACCTACATTACCTTATTTAGCTGATGTTAAAGTGAAATGAGTGCCAATCAAGCGATCGTATTAAAAACGCAATCTGATAAAAAAAACTCTATTCATTCTCGTTCTCTATAATTATTCCCCGCGTTTTTGTTCTACGTTTTTAAAATCGCTGCAGTGATTTTCGTCCATCACTATTCACCCATCTCCGTGGTTTGCAACGAGAAAAAAGTCCAAAAAATGAATGCAACCGCAGAGTGATCGAAGAACATTCAAATTCATGTTTTGGTCGGTAAAATTCCTTGTAAGCAAAATCGCCGCTAACCGATATGGTCTGCTATCCGAGTGTCCTCTCGTCTGCGCATTATTAGCCCAAAACCGCTCGCAATATGTGTATAATATAATAATAATATACTCTACCACACACACACACATTTATATATGTGTACATAATATAATATATATTGTACACGTGCCGGTGATTGGGCGGCGGCGGCGATCGAGCACAAATAGTGAGAAACGGCCGCCGAAACCTTTATTTAAATTTATGTAAAACAGAATCGTTGAAATTACTTTCCGCTTACGAGAAAGACCACCGCCGCCGCGGGGCCAGGCCGATGGTTGCCCGTCGTCGTTTATAGAGAACGCATTATGTATATGAGTTGTATTTTATGGAATACGTTTTTTTTTGTTCAAGTCTTTTACGCATTGTCGTATATATCGTGCGCCTGTGTTGTTATCGTCAAAGTCCGCTTCATCATATCGCTGTTTATTAATATATTATAAGACTATACAAAAAATATACGAAAAGCGATTTCTAATCGAAAACCTCGTGAACCATACACAGTCGTCTCCATACTAATATGACAGCTTACGATGATCATATGTTTTAACATTATTATGTTTATTACAACTCTATACAGCGATCGACTACGAGACTGCGTGATTAATCGTGATATTGGACCGAACTGCACTAGTAATGGCTCGAGTCGTATGGTCGATAAATCTTTAAGAAAATATGATCCATATAATGCCCCAAAGTAGGCGAGTTCCAATTATTAACGGTATTTATAAAATATGTTACGCTACATTTGTTATAGTTAAACTTACTATTGTTTCGCGTTTCATAGCTTCGGCGCTATAAGCGATTTGACCGCTGCAAAAAATGTTAAAGTAAAATAATATACATATATGTACGATTGAGATTGTAGACTATGTAATAATCGATTAACAGTTAAGACAAATATTTCATTATTATCGATTCGTGGCAATAGCAAAGCGGTTACATAATTGATTTAAGTAATTTCATATTGTGGTTTCCGTGGTCTATTGTCGGAAAATGAACACTGTGGTTTTGGAATTAGTCGAAACAGTGGAATTATTTAACAATCATAATAATATAGCCGATCACAAAAGCGAAGCACATTACGATAGACTATGTAAATACAACAAAAAAAATCGCTGTTATGTACAGTAGATGTAGTGTACCTTGATGTCACTGTAATGGATGAGCTAAAATTTAAATTCAATGATACAATATCATTGCATAAATACCAAAAAATGATTCTGAGCAGAAAGACATTTTATGAAGAACTTTGTATATAATTGTAAGAGCCATACACCTCTTTCAACCTTGTAGCAAATGATCAAATTTTTTGTTCACGAATATACATTTCGGCATACATAAATCAAAGAAAACCGAAAAAACTTTGAAGTAACATAAAATTTATATCTACCTAAGTAAATATAAATATAAATATCTGGAGAAAATCTGAATTTTACAGTTTTCCAATTTGGAATTACAAAAGAAAAAAAATGGTTTTCATCGGAATCCATTTCCCCTTTTTCATTTTGTATTATACATTTAAATTAGTACTATGAATTTTTACTTTTGACAGACGCAATAAAAAAAAGTATCATTGTTAAATCAGTACATGCATCATCGCTCTATTAGGAATCTAAAAAATGTAAATAAAAACATTTAAAAATGAACACTACCGCATAGCGTCATATGCAGCCGATAACACCGCGACCGAATAAACTCCCATGAAGTTACTGGAATTACCGGTAATGTATTTAAATATAAAAACAATGAACATTTGGGGATCCGAAAAAACGATTACCGTCCAAAATACGTGTTAAAAAAATGAAAGGCAATCATCGTGAAAACCCGCAGGACGTCCAAAACGGAATTACCCATCAGTTTACATT